CCATGGTGAAGAGTCTGGAAAGAGAGAACATCCGGAAGATGCAGGTATCGGGGCGGGGACCCAGCCGGGCCCTCCTTCCCGGCGGTCCAGTTCCCGGATCCTTCCCCCAGTCGCCGCGCGATGCCGGCTCCGCTGCCCCGATCCCGCAGACCCGGTCGGGACGTCTCGGGGGTCTCGGGAGCACGCCTCCCCTCAGACAGGCTCCGTGGAGCTTAGGCTGATCGGATGAAATCCGTGCGCCCTCGCCGCGCGCAAGGCCGTTTGCCACCCAGTCCGGCCGGGGATCAGGAGTGTCCACGGGCTGGAGTTAAAAAGACCCTGGGGCGAGGCGTCTGTCTTCCCGCACCTTCCCCTCTTGCGCGACCTGAGGCCCAGAAAGGGCACTGCCAAGGTGAAAGACGAGAAAGGCGAAAGTGCCCGGACTCCCCTATGGCCGGGTCGTGTCCGGTTGCGCCGAACCCCGCTGCACACAGCGCTGGTTTATACGCTGTTATGCTTTGACCTCCGAAGTGATTTATGGGCATTGGTCCTGCCTCCCTAACCAGATTGTGGGCTTCCCTTATAGGGCCCCTTGAATCGTGGTTTAATGGGTTGGTTGCCCTTAGGTGGAGTACGGATTAGTAGGTAGCCGACCTCTGAACCCTGTGGTATAGGTAGGTATGTGGTTTTCAGAAAATGGCTTCATCTGACCCACCCGCACCGTCCCCGCCATCGATGCAACAAGTGCCAATGAGCTAGCAGCATGAAGGCCATGAAACACTCTGCTAGCCACCGAGGATCGTTTTCCCAGTCGTGGTTGCCCTGATGTCTGTTCTAAGGGAAGATGAAAGCATAAGATGAAGAAGGAGGTGCAAATATAGACGTGACCTCCTAACCCTGTAGCACTCCCTGATCATCTCTGTCCCCGGAGGTTTTCCTCCCTAACCTGCTCTGCGCTCCCTCCCCAGGGCCTCATGTTCCGGTGCAGCGCCAGCTGTTGTGAGGACAGCCAGGCGTCCATGCAGCAGGTGCACCAGTGCATCGAGCGCTGCCATGCGCCTCTGGCTCAAGCCCAGGCCTTGGTGACCAACGAGTTGGAGAAGTTCCAGGTGAGGAATATCCCAAACTGAGGACTCTAGTCCTTGATGTGCTTTTTTGCAGATAACAAACATTTATTCAAAACTCTTGGCTTTAGTGTCTGTTAACATTTGTGACATTCCTATAACCAAGCAGTCTTCACAGGGTTTGAAATTTTGAAAAAAGTACTGGAAGTTGAATGCTGTAAATTGAACCATATTTTCGCATAGAAACAATGATATAAAAGGGAGTTACCAGGGGAGTTCATGACCAAGAGTCTTTATGCATTTTTT